GGAGGAGGAAGAGGAGGGCGAGAAACCCAAGAGGAGAGGCCCCAAGAAGAAGAAGATGACCAAGGCCAGGCTGGAGCGGTTCAGGGCGCGCAGGGTCAAGGCCAACGCCCGGGAGCGCACCAGGATGCACGGCCTGAACGACGCCCTGGACAACCTGCGCAGGGTCATGCCCTGCTACTCCAAAACCCAGAAACTGTCCAAGATCGAGACGCTGCGGCTCGCCAGGAACTACATCTGGGCCCTGTCCGAGGTGCTGGAGACGGGGCAGACGCCGGAGGGGAAGAGCTTCGTGGAGATGCTCTGCAAGGGGCTGTCGCAGCCCACCAGCAACCTGGTGGCGGGTTGCCTGCAGCTGGGGCCGCTCCTGGAGAGGCGCGACGAGAAACCCGCGGGCTGCGAGGCCCCCCTGGGCGGTCACCCCTTCGGCTACCAAACCCCGGGGCTGCCCAGCCCCCCCTACGGCTCCCTGGAGTCCCACCTGCTGCACCTCAAGCCCCCCACCCACGCCTTCAAGAGCCTGGCCGAGGGTCCCTTCGGGGGACCCCCTGACTGCTCCCCCCCACCGCCGCCCTACGAGGGGCCCCTGACCCCCCCCCTGAGCATCAGCGGCAACTTCTCCCTGAAGCAGGACGGCTCCCCGGAGCTGGAGAAGCCCCCCTACCCCTTCGTGGCCCACTACCCCTCGGTGGGCCTGGCCGGGCCCCACGGACACGCCCCCCCCCACTTCCAGGGCTCGGTGCCCCGCTACGAGATCCCCCTGGAGGTGGGATACGAGCCCTTCCCCCCCCCCCACGCGGCCGGGCCCCAGCTCGGTGCTCTCTTCAGCGAGTAAATCCCGCCCCGGGATTCCCCATTCCCCCATTCCAGAGGCTCTGGAGTAAATCCCGCCCCGGGATTCCCCATTCCCCGATTCCAGAGGCTCTGGAGCGTTTCCAGGACACGGATACGACCCCCCCAGCCACGGGAGGGGGGGGTGGGGAGGAGTGGAATGCCGCGGTCCATCAGCCAGGGGCGTCACAATCCGTGATCCAGGGATGCTGTGGTTCACCATCCAGGGATGGGGATCCACCTCCCAAACCCATCCAGGGTTTGGGATCCACAATCCAGGCCCATCCAGGGTTTGGGATCCACTTCCCAAACCCATCCAGGGTTTGGGATCCACAATCCAGGCCCATCCAGGGTTTGGGATCCACTTCCCAAACCCATTCAGGGTTTGGGATCCACCCCCCAGGCCCATTCAGGGTTTGGGATCCACAATCCAGGCCCATCCAGGGAACCCCCAGGCCCATTTAGGATTTGGGATTCACCTCCCAGGCCCATCCAGGGTTTGGGATCCACAATCCAGGCCCATCCAGGGTTTGGGATCCACAATCCAGACCCATCCAGGGTTTAGGATCCACAATCCAGGCCCATCCAGGGCTTTTGGGATCCATAATCCAGGCCCATTTAGGATTTGGGATTCACCCCCCAGGCCCATCCAGGGTTTTTGGGATCCACTCCCCAGGCCCATCCAGGGTTTTTTATTTATTTATTTATTTATTTATTTATTTATTCCTTGCTGTGTCCGAGGGGCCTCGTTCATCTCCCAATGCTTGGAATTCGCTCCCAGAACCTCCCGGTCCCTTCCAACCCCCACCCCCCCTCCCCCCCCGTGGACTCCCGAGCCCGTTTAGGGAATTGGCTTCGTGCAAACTGTGTGGTTTTTGCAGTGCTGGTGCCCCGGGATTATTTATCAGCCGTTATTTATTTAATTTATTTGCCCTGCCC